CCATCCCTGCTCCCCGGCTGGGCCACTCCCTCGCCGGCCCAAACAGTTGTTTACAAAGGCGTCTGGGAGGAGTGGCGCCGCGTGCGGGAGGACGTGGCTCCCGGCGTCGGTGGACCGATCCCCTGCGTTTTGCCCAAAGACCCTCTCTGCGGGGGCGTCTCTGGTGTCCAGCTCGGCCTGGGCTGAAGCTCCGAGAGACGGTCTTCACGGCCCGAGCGGGGACCCCGCCCCTCGGCTCCCTTTCCAGGCTTGGCGGGCACTGGGGAGTGTTGAGTGAGTGAGCGCACTGAGTGCGTGAATGCATCCTCCAGCCCGGAACCGCCCCTGCCATTCATGGGAAGCAGGTCGGGAGCCATCTGTTGTCATGCACGGTCTGCCTTTAAACGTCCCCCAGACCGGAGAGGCGTAGGCTAGCTGCGTTGTCCAGATGGGGAAGCGGAGCTAGTAAAGGGCCAGCATGGGGACCCGTGCATGTCCGAGACCAACGCCCATCCCTCCCGCAGACACCGACATCCCTGAGATGACACAGCTGTCAACAGATCCTTAGTGGGTGTCTGTTTGGGGCATATATGCATGGAGCATACGTGGGGGCTATGGTTGGTCTTGGCCCTTAAGAAGTTAAAAATCTAGGTGAAAAGTTGTGTTTTTGTTTGTTTGTTTGTTTTTAAAGAAAACTAGCAATTTTACAATCTGGCCCCAACCCGTCTTTTTACCTTCCTCACCTGCCTCTTATGCTACTTATGTATGTGCCTCCACTTGTGCTCTTCCTCTCCCCCTCCAGACATTTTTTTTTAATTGAATGAAATCCTACTCTTTTCTAAAAGACCAGCTCAAATGTCCCCTTTTCTGGGAATACCAACCTCCTTGCAGGCAGAATTAGTTTCTCCCTCTTCTCTATTTCCTTAGTGATTTCATAATGCCATGAAGGCTTAAGTTTCACCGTGTTTCCTTGTCAGAATGTCTCTCTCTCCCTCTAAACCAGCGGTTCTCAACCTGTGGGTCGCGACCCCTTTGGCGGTCGAACGACCCTTTCACAGGGGTCGCCTAAGACCATCCTGCATATCAGATATTTACATGACGATTCCTAACAGTAGCAACATTACAGTTATGAAGTAGCAACGAAAATAATTTTATGGTTGGGTCACAACATGAGGAACTGTATTTAAAGGGCCAGAAGGTTGAGAACCACTGATTTAGGGGCAGAGAATCCCTTGATTGAGCTGTAGTGGCCAGGCTGAGCCAGCAGGGGAGAGTGAAGGCAACGGATGCCAGATGTCTAGTAACCCGTCCTGCAGGAGTTCAGAGAAAGGTGCAAATACTGGTGAGGTTGGGGAAGGTCCTGGGAGGAGCGTGGACCCGAGCCTAATCTTACAAGGATGGGTTAGTTGATGTAGCTAAGTTTCCTGCCTTTCCTCCTCAGAGCATAGAATGAATTACTTCATCCTTCTTGAGCTCATTCCCAGCATGTGAAAGGGATAAAATTAGAAGTGTTTTTGTTTGTCCTTTCTCTTAGGATTTGCTGGTAATGTTATCTGTTGGCTCTTGGAGCATTTCCAGAGCCAAATAGGATTTAGAACAGAGAGGAGATGGGTGTCTGGAGTGAGATGCTGGAAGGTAAAGGGGAACTGTTTTAAAGCCACATGGACTCTTCAGGACGTGAGGGTGATCTGGCTGCAACGTCTGTCACCCCACTGATCGCCAGGGTTGATTCGGCTGATCTGGCTGGTTAGGCAGGTGTCCCCTTCCTCCCTCACCACTCCATCTGCCTTTCTCCCCAAGCTGTGCTCTTGGTCGAAGATGGCTTTCCCCGCTAGAGGAGAGGACTAACTGTTCTTGTAGCTGCACTCTCCTGCTAGAATCTCCAGACAAGCTCTCAGGGTCCATTTGTAGAGCATAGGGTAGTCAAGCTTCCAAGACTCCAGACACATTCAAATGAGGTGCTGCATGTGGCAACCTGCCATTCAAGAAAAGGAAGGAAGGAAGGAAGGAAGGAAGGAAGGAAGGAAGGAAGGAAAGAAAAAAGTCTTCATATGAATAATACAGGCCTGAAAATGTAAATTCCAGTAACTTCATTCTATTTAATGGTGGTATCTAAAATTCCAGGTAATTATATCAAGTGATTCTTCTCTGATGTGCAGAAAAGAGTCTGTGACTCTTTCTTCTGATCTCTGGATTACCTTCCAGGTGTGTAATGAAGTTTAATTAGTGTTTATGAAAATGTTTTGTGATCTTCAAATGCTAATAATACCAAGACTGATTATTTTCAGTAGTGTAAGTGCAGGAACGGAACGTTCATCTTTCTCCTCCCTCAATTGGAAATACCTTAGGAATAGAGAACTCTAAAATGGGGGTGGAAACCAACTTGACAAAAACTTATACAGTAAATAAGAGGTTACTATTCCAGGCCTTTATTAACTGGCCCAAACTGACATGTTATTTCTATTCTAATCGGCAACTAAAAAAATTAAAACCGCACCCAGCCACGTATATCATGGTTATTGGCAACTTCCTGCTTTACTCATCATCCTTTTCTGCTGACTGGTAAGGAGTTGCCCCACACATTCTTCTTAAACGCTTCATAAGATTCTATCTTCTATCCGTCATCCAACGTATCTCATTCACATAATGGGATCCGGGAACCAACTCCTCAGCCAGTGTGTTCACTTGGAAGCCTGATTAAACATTAACACATTATTTCCAAAGTTTTCCTACCAGCACTCAGGAGTGAAAGTACAGAGTTTTAAGAGTCGAATCACTCTTTGAATTAAAATGGAAGCAGGCAGTTTATAGCCCTGTGTTCTAATGTTACATGGTACTCAGGAATGGGACAAAAATACTCAAACTTGTTACTCTCCATCTGAGATACAGGTCCATTAATTTGATAAATAACAAAAGTGTATGTTTAATCATTGGAGTAGAATATTATAACTGGATAAGATCCTAGCAAGCCTATTACTTTTCCAGATGAGAAAGCTGAAACCCAATGAGATTAAATGATTTGTCAGGAGTCACACTGCTAATTACTGACAGAGCTAAAACATTTTGCTCCTTTTTTTTCTTCCCAGGTTCATTATCTTTTTTCTTTTTAGGAAAGTGAATAAACTTAATTGAGAATGTCTGAAAATCTTGAGAAGACCAATATAATTGAAGCAGGAAAATCAAAATCAAATGATTCTGAACAAGGCCTTGAAGATGCCGTGGAAGGTTCTGATGAAGCTTTACAGAAAAAAAAGTCAGGCTCTCCTAGCACCCAGAGAGTGCAAAGACCTCACTGTAAGCAAATCTAACGTTGGTTAAAAGCAATATTTTCAGATGATATTTTTATTAGGCCTCCCTGAGCTAGGTTCTAATAATATTATAACATTGCCACTAATTAGCATTTAAGAACAATAACAGTTTCTTCTTTCTCTTCCAACTGGCAGCCTAGTCACTTGTGGGTTTTCAATTGCATGAGAAATTAAAGTTTTTGAATAATGTCCAGAATGTTCCTGTCTTCATGCAGCCTCAGTGACATTCCAGTTTCTCCGAAGTGCTCTGAAAAATAGGAGGTTGGAGTCTATATTGCAGTTTTAATTAAAAGAGTGTTTGAAAGTCTGAAGCAGGTTCCAGCCAGGACTGTGCCTGTGCAGGTTAAAAAAAAGGGGGGGGGGGGTATTAAACTGGAGTGACTTCACCACACCCTAGGTTCATTGCCTGGGGGTTGAGTTCTCACAGGTTGAAGGAATTCAAATTGCTGAACATACATGGTAAAGATACTTCAGATCCCTGGCAGGGAGCAGGCCTCCTAAGATGAAAGGGTGGCAGTTTTTGTAGACATTCCCAGCAGTTGCCCCAACTCATGTCTTTTATTAAGATTAAACTGGAGTGACTTCACCACACCCTAGGTTCATTGCCTGGGGGTTGAGTTCTCACAGGTTGAAGGAATTCAAATTGCTGAACATACATGGTAAAGATACTTCAGATCCCTGGCAGGGAGCAGGCCTCCTAAGATGAAAGGGTGGCAGTTTTTGTAGACATTCCCAGCAGTTGCCCCAACTCATGTCTTTTATTAAGAATACTTATGTTTTTTGAAGTGAGTCCAAAAATGAAAGTTTTAAGAGGGGATGTCATAGTCTAAGAATGTCATTGCTGATGTTATCTCTTTAAAGTGTAGATGATCAGTAATTCTTCATAGTTGGAAGAAGTACAAACATTTTTGTGTTTCCAGATAATTTATTAGTCAACATAGTACCCTTTTGCGGGTGGGGAGGGAAAGCACTTACGAGTGTTTCATGAACTTTTGTCCATGTGGCTTCAAGCTACCTGGACACAGACCCCCCCCCCCCCCC